GAGTTTCTTCTGACATCCATTTTGGTCTTTTCTTCCTCTTCTGTCTTTGTAATGACCGCCTGCACTCTTCCTGAATGATACATTTAACATCCTCCCACAACTCATCTGGTCTTTGTTCATTAGTGTTCAAGGCCTCAAACCTGTTCCTGAGATGATTCTGAAATTCAGGTGGTATGAAATTAAAGTCATATTTTGGCTTCTGTGAATTCGGTTTAATTTTCCTCAGCTTCAGCTTGAATTTGCATATGAGTAATTGGTGGTCTGTTCCACAATCAGCTCCTGATTTCTACCAACTCTTACAGGCAGAGATAGATGGAACGTGCAATCAAGATGCATTGATAATAATGGGCGACTGGAACGCAAACGTTGGGAACAGGGAAGAAGAATCAGTAGTTGGACAACATGGACTTGGTGACAGAAATGAAGCAGGAGATAGAATGATTGAATTTTGCACAATCAGTGACTTATTCATTGAAAATACGTTTTTTAAGAGACATAAATGTAGATTATACACATGGATTTCACCTGATGGTATGCATAGGAATCAGATCGATTACATCTGTGGAAAAAACCACTGGAGAAGCTCAATATCAGCTGTAAAAACTAGGCCAGGAGCTGATTGTGGAACAGACCACCAACTACCAGATGTGTAGCAAGTAATTGAAAAGATTATGGTTTGAATTAGGTGCACCTTAGTCTTCAAATTGACATCATTACTCTTCACTTTGGAGAGGTCCTTGACAGTAGACTTTACCAGTACAGTACATCTTTTATTTCCTGGTTGCTGATGCTATCAGTGTTGATAGTGCAAGCACGATGAAATTGTGAAATTGACAATTTCTTTCTCTTCTCCTTCTATCATGTTACTTATCAACATACATTTGAGGATGTTGAAAATACCATGATTTGAATCACATACACTTTGTCTCCACAGTGGCATCTTTGCTTTCTACTGCCTCAAAGGGTTTTTTTGGGAACAGATTTGCTTAGTTAAATGTATTATTGTTTGATTTCTTGACTGCTGCTTCCATGTGTATTGATTGTCAATACAAATGAAAGGGTATCTTTGACTAATGTTGCCATGTATCATGATGATGCTTGTGAGGACTTCTGTTAGCTTTTAGTTTTTTTTTTTTATGTTGTGGTATAATCTTTAGATGTAATCAAAGGCAATATTTTTTTAATTTTCAATAGGAAATGCTTCAGATAATTGTCAACAAGGAGTTCATCCTTTAAGAGTATAACTGAGTGATTTTTAGTATAGTCATGAGGTTGTAATCTTCCAGTTCCTAAACCTTTTTTATCCCTAAAGGTTATTGTAGGTAGTGTTTGTGGTTCTGCTCCTGGGATCTTCTGTGTGAGCCGAGCTGGGTGCCCATATCTGGAGCAGTCAAACCTATTGACTTTCTCCCATTCTTGTGTTCTGTCTTGATCCCTTCGAGTCGGTATGTCTGATAGCTATTTTTTTGTGACTGTTCAATTCACCATCATGTTTACAGAATTAATCCATGTCATGGCACATAATTAGCATCTCACTCCCTTTTATGACTACTTTTATATTCTACTGTGTGGATGGACTGAGGGAATGCACCCTGTACTTCAGTTGCTAGCATGTTGCAGGCACAATGAGACCTTCTTCATGTTGTTTCCCTTAGTTTACCCCTCCTTGGAGTCTGATGAAGACAACCCAGTCTTCAAGTCCCGTTCGAAGAAAAGGAAAGGCTCAGACGATGCTCCCTACAGCCCCACAGGTAATCTTACCCCTCTCCTTCCAAGCAGACTCTCTGAGGACAGCTCATAGGCTGTAGAGCCTCGCTCTGTGCAGCTGGATGTCCCGAGTACAGTTGGAGGCCACTCCTTTGATCAGCCTTGTAAAGAGCCTCACCCTTCATCCTTGCCCTGCATGGACAGTGCCTGTCCCTACTTTCTCTCTCTCTGGTCCTTGGTCCCCTGTTCTTTCTCCTGGTGGACAGTGCTCATCTCTGTATTCTCTTTCCCTGGTCCCTGGTCCCCTGTCCTTTCCCTGGGTGGACAGAGCCCATCCCTCCTTTCTCTCTCACTGTTCCTTGGTCGCCTGTCCTTTCCCTGGTAGACGGTGCCTGTCCCTTCTTTCTCTCTCTGGTCCTTGCTGGCAGTGAGATGCTTATTCCATGTAGATTGGTAGGTGAAAGATGGGGAACTCAGTCCATACAGCCTTCTGCCCAACTCCACTTTGCCCCTTATGTCCTTATGAGGTTGAGAATCTTAATTTTCTTCCTTCCTTATATTGTCTGGTCCTATCTTGTGAGTGGCTTGTGTTCCAGGAAGCCTGGTCCTCTGGGCCTGGTGGGACAGGAGTCAGGGAGGTGCTCCAGGGTGGCCACATAGGCTGCTGTGAGGCATGACCTGAACTGGCTGACACTTCTCTCCCTGCAGCGAGGGTTGGCCCATCCGTCCCACGGCAGGACAGGCCTGTGCGTGAGGGGACCAGAGTGGCCTCCATTGAGACCGGGCTGGCAGCAGCTGCGGCTAAGCTCTCCCAGCAGGTGAGGAAGCAGGTCTGTCAGCCTGTCCACAGACCCCCTGGGCCCCTGGAGGTCTTGGGTGTGGGGCTGCCCTGTAGGATGAGAAAGTGGGGCCTTCTCAACTGTTGGGAAGGTGATGTGGAAGCCTGCAGTCACAGCTGGGCATTGGAACACACTTCTCTACCAGAGGCCTGTCTGCTCTGAGAGTTGGGTTGACCCTGGGAGTGGGGAAGAGTTATTGTCTTAGGACACCTTGCCTTTCACACTGACTCCTGGATGCCTGAGCAGTTATGGCACATTCAAATCTAAGGAAACTAGGATAATACAATCAAAGAAGGTGCTGTTACCCCTTGTAAGTGAGGGCTCTCAGCCCCCCTCTGGTGGTGAGAACGTGTCCTGTTGCACTGTTTGTCTCCAGCTTGGCTGGGTGGGCAAACTTTAGCCTCCCTAAGGTGGTGTGCAGTGTGCTTGCCCTCTGACCCACCATGGCCTCCAGTGGGTAAGCAGTGCCAGTCTCTCTCTTCTCAGAGCCCCTGGTGGACCTGAGTGGAGTCTAAGCATTGTTGGGGTCTGGTCATGGCAAATTGTGTCTCCCCTTGGAAACTGAGAGCACTTTGGATCACAGACCTGCTTTGTTCAAAGGAGGAACAGAAAAGCAGGAAGAAAAAGAGCACCAAGAAGAAACTGGCTCCAGCCACCAACCCCCCATCCACCTCTACCACCCCTGCCAACTCCGCCTCTTCAGCTTCCACCTCGTCATCCTCCATCTCCACCTCAGCCTCCACCTCGGCCTCCTTGGTCTCCACCACACCGGCGAGCACCAGCACAGCCAGCAGTCAGGCCTCACAGGAGAGCAGCTCACCTGAGCCCCTGCCAGAGGTGCCCAGTAGCAGCCTGGCAGACCACGAGTACACGGTGGGCGTGGGTGCCTTTGCAGGGGCCCAGGCTGGCCGCACCTCCCAGCCCATGGCCCCAGGTGTCTTCCTCACACAGAGGCGACCCTCTGCCTCATCCCCCAACAACAACACTGCTGCCAAAGGTGTGTGCCCACTGTTGGGGGACAGCCTCAGATAAGGTTCTGTCTGAGGCAGTGTTAAGGAACTGGGCAGGTGCTGAAGTCTGGGGTCAGACTGCCCTTTCTCAGTGCTTCCTGATGGGAGTGCAGGGAGAACATAGCCAGCTAGTGGGCAGCAGGTGCAGGATATATAGGGTGGAGCCAGCACGGGGCTTTCTAGTGCCATGTAGTGTGGACTGGTGCCTCAGAACCCAGTTCTTGCAGTGGGTTGTGGCTACAGGTATTGTGGGATTACGGTTTGTCTGTCACCGATAGAGATGGCACTTCACAGCAGAGGCTGGAAGAGGCCTTGTTGGTGTGTGGACAAGAATCTAAGGCTGCCTGTGGGTGGTCTTTCAGTGTGGTGTTGCCAGGTCCTGCCCCTGTCCTCTGTGTGACTGTGTGTACTTCTCATGGACTGTTGTGTGTAAATGATGTGCTCTGCTTCAGATGATGGCTTTGTTGTCCGGAGGTAAGACAGTGGCCTCATATCCCAAAAATGATGCTGTCGCCTCCATAGGCTCAGGCTTCACTGGCCCAGCCTCACCGTCAGTACTTCATATGGTCCAGTGTGTGTACAGATGCTTCGTGAGAATGTGTGATTGCTGAGGAGACGGGGACTTGGCCCGAGTGGGGTGGGCCGGGCTGGGGCCAAGGGCTGCCCCGCCACCCTCTGCACAGCTCCGTGCCCTTGGCATGCTGCTTCTCTGGCCAGCTTACTGATCTTTCTTTTCTGTGTCCCCTCCTCCACCTCTTTAGGTAAACGTACAAAAAAAGGCATGGCCACAGCCAAGCAAAGGCTTGGAAAAATTTTGAAAATTCATCGGAACGGAAAACTGCTCCTTTAAAGTTTGGAAAGCCAGGATTCATGTGCTCCACTCAGGCCCCTGGAGCACTGCTAAAGCACTTGCCCCCCTAAAAGACTGACCGACATCACTCACCCCGGGGAGGGTCTTGCTTTATCCTGGCCACCATTCCCTGCACACAAGCTTGTACCTGGAGCTGGAGGAGCGTGCAGAGCACAGCTGTCCTTTGTTTTGAAGAGAGATGTCATGTCTCCAGTTGCTTAGAGTGACCAGCTCTCTAAAAGCTGCCCTGTTAGTTTGAGGACCATTCCAGGTTCAAGATAGCCTCTGGGCACCCGTCGAATGTGGGTGCAATTGCAGGCGTCATGTCCTGCAGGGAGTGAGTCCTTCATGGAAGGATGTGAGAGCCAAAGCTCGCCAGGCCCAAAGTCTGAACTGGTCATGATCTAGTAGCCTCCAGAGGCTTAAAAAAAGGCAAAAGACATTAGAGAACAAGAGAAAGAGGTGTGAGGATGTGCCCCCTTCTTTTCCCCAGTAATTCTCAGCCAGGTCTAGAGAGCATCAGGCCAGAGGAAGAGTGGGGCCTCGGCTCTCCCACTAGCAGCACGAGGGACAGTGGGGGTGTCCCCTGAACACAAAGGAACAGGTTTCGGGGAAAGCACAAGGGCACAAAGACTGGTAGCAAGTTGGGGTGTTAGCGGACAGGAGCCGATAGAGGGGTCCTGGGAAGGCCACAGGCTCAGCCATGCCTCAGGGTCCTGGGGGCCCAGGCTAAGCCACATGAGTGAGCCTGGCCCAGCTCAGTGGCCCATGCTCTCACAGAAGTACTTCTTAGCTAGCCATGGCAGCCTCTGCCCCAGGCCTGACATGGCCAGGATGGTGGACGGGGTGGACCTCGACACTGTGATGTCTCTGTGTGATGGCGTCTAGTGTTGAGGGCATGGTGGTACCTGAAAGGTGTGCCCACCTGTCAGTGCAGGGAGGCTGGATTTGTTTCTCAGGCAATCCTGGATTTTAATTTTAGATGTATTTCCTGAAGCATATTTTTCATAGAATGTAGCGTGTAAATAGCTTTTTAAATAACTTCTTTTTTATAAGAGTAAAATTATCTTTAGAAATTTCTTTCTATAGAGTCTTTCATTAACATTTATATGAATTTTTTGCTGAGTATTACAAAACAGTTGAGTTCCAATGCTTTTCATTTCCTCCCTCCCTCCCTCCCTCCCTCTCTCTCTCTCTCTTTCTTTCTTTCTTTGTAGTTTCCTTTTTCTTTAAGGAACTATGGTATTGCCTGAAAAACAAGTGCTATCTGTGCAGACTTTACCCTTTGTCTCCACAGAAGCAAATCATACGCAAAAGGTATATTGCAGACATATTTTGAAGCTGAGTCTTCAACTTTCTTACCAGCTCTTTGTTTTCCTTCTTGTATGATGAGGGGGTTGGGGATACAATTATTTTACTAGCACCTTGTGAAGTGTTTCTGTGTTTTGTGATGATGTAATTTATTAATGTTTGTAGCTTTTTATATTTGTACATTTCTTAAAACTTTGTTTATATACCATTTCCTGGATGTTACATCCACAACAAGAAACAGCTCTGTGGAGGCCTTATTTACTCCTATGTGTCCTGCTAGAAGGGTCCTGAGAGCCATGAGGCTGGGGAAGGTTGAGTCTCATGGGGTCCCAGACTTACTCAAAACTGGTGTTTTTAAAGTTTCTTTGCCCCTGTCCTTGTTGAACATTTATATAACTTAACCTGAGCATCAAGCTTTTCTTTTTTTATTATTGTTATTATTATTATTATTATTATTATAATTTTGGCAACATGTGCATTTCTAACAAAGTTTATTGTGGTTGTTAAAGTGTTTTATTTCCCCAGTTCATATTACTCTTGTATCAAGTCCATGGAGTCTAAGACAACTTAGATCAAAGTTTCAAAAAAGTAAAAAGATTTCAGGTTTTGTATAGAACAATGTCTGTGTCATTCACCCTGGCAGTGGGACTGGTAAGGGTTTCTTCCACAGAGGGCACACAGCCTGACGGGCAGGTGGCTGAGTTTTTGGCAAACCTGGATTTGCTTCCTGAGCACAACCCTCTTAGGCCTCATGACCCAGCACATAATGTTGGAGCCACCCTTAGCCTGGCTTCAGGAGGGACACAGAATCTCCTGGGCAACAGGGTGAGCAGTTTGAGGCCAGGCTGCCTCTGGTCATCCCAGACACAGGTGTGGTCTAGTTCAGTGGAAACACCAGTGTGCTCATCCAAGTGGGACCAGGTGTGGAGAAGACACTATGCAAGAAACAAGCAAGCAAAGACCTAGATCCTCTTACAGAGGCACTGGGGTGGTGTGGGGAGGATATCGACAAGCACTGAGCACAAGATTTGAGGGCCTGTCCATCGTGGTCACGGGCAGGATCATATGCCAGGGCAGACACACCAAAGACACCTGGGGAACAGCTACTTGAGGCATGGAGTAGAATCAGCTTAACTCCCAGGCTGCTGACCTACTGGCTAAGAGGCAAGTCAGGCCCAGGATCATTGGCCCTATAGGTCAGAGCATGGGTGCACTGTGTGTCCTGGACAGGATGCTGCCTTCTGAGCACTAGCCCCTTGGAAGCTACTGGGGAAATGTCATGATGGCCCCTACCCCTCACCTGCGGCTGAGACACCAAGAAGGGCCTTTCTAGGATGAGGAACCGAGTTTGGAGTGGGATGAATCAGGACCCCTCGAGGGCAGCTGCTGCTTGAGAATATCCTGGGCCTGCTCTGGACCTGCCAGGGATCAGCATCTCTAACATTGTTGGATTCTAGCAGAAGAGGCATGTGGCCTCCTAGGACAGGCAATAGTGCCTTTTAGGGGCCTGCACTCACCCAGATCTATCAGTTTCTGCCTCTTGCCTCCACTAGGATCCTCACACCTTCAGCTACACAGCTTCTGCTGGAATTTTGGTCCCAGAGCCCCATCTCCAGGCAGAGCTCTGAGCCCTCCATGCTCAGCTTGGTTAGGGCCCAGTGACTTGCAGCTAAGTCATCAGAATGTTGCTGCTTCCTTAAGAGTCATGAAAGAAACGAGGGTCTGGCTGATGCCTGCGTAGCTGGTGGGCACTGTGGGTGGAGGGAGGAAATCTCACCATCTTTGGCATGAGGGTCTTTCCGGAGTTAATGCTCTTCCTACCTGTGTAATGCTGTCCAGCAGCCCAGGACAGGAATCCTTGAGCACCTCTTCCCTCCACTCTAGGTTATAGTAACCTTGTCTGTGGACTGTGGGACTCAGAAATAGGCATAAACCTGGTTCTCATCTAGTGGGTGAACAAGAGTAAGGTCCAGGCTCCCCAGAAGCCAGAGCCCCATGCCTCCTGACAAGAAAGGCCCGTTCTGGGGGACTGCAAACATGCCTGACCCATTTGTCCAGTGTCTGGTATGGCATCATTCTGGACTCTGCAGGTGTTTCTCTGCTTGCTTACTGGAGCTGCTGTGGGACACTTCCTTTCCTTTGTCATCAGGTATCTCCAGCTCACAGTGGCAGGTCAGGATGAACATCTCCAGTGTCCTCTCTTCGGCCTCAGGTTCCAGACCTTAAGTGGTGATTTCCTACATGGTGACACTATAATATTCAGACAACATAACATGGGAAGGAGGCCAGACTCAGTGAAGTTAGAAACCTGCACTTGCCCTCCCAGGGCCTGCCTGACCAGCTTCATCTTGCATTTTGAAGTACAGAGGGAGTTCCCTTTGGGGGATGCCGTCATTCTGGACACCAATCACTTGCTATAACTGCTCACACTTTCTCTGACCCTTCAGAGTTCATGGTCCAACTGTGACTAATAGGCTGTGAGGGGCTGGGCCATTCAGGAGCTAAGACACCACCACTTGGCTCATCCTGCTGGGGGCAGCCTAGGAAGTCTTGGATCAGCAATCTAGACTCCGGAGAAGAAAGCTGCCCCAGAGAGCCACTTAGCCAGCAACCATCTAACCAGACTTTGCAAGACAAAAGTGTTAATGCTTACACAAAGCTTTTTAGGTTCACCACAGTCCAGCTGGATGCCAGAAGTGACATCTTGATGCCCTCCTTGTGCTGGGTGCTGTGCAGAGCATGCCCACCGAGGTGCCCACCGAGACTGATCACAGCTCCAGAAGGAGACATTGTTCTAGCTCATGTTTTGAGGAGGGAGCTGACTCCTCTGGGTCCTCACAGCTCGTCACAGCAGGGCTAAGGTTTCAGCCCTTTGAGGGTCACTATTTCACCTCTATGCCATGGGTCGGTGTTGGCAGGTCGTCCCACACCTCCCAAGTGTAAAGGGCAGATCTGGGAGTTGCCTGGACTTCAGCTATGGGGATGGAAATATTTTCAACAAAAGTAAGAGGCCTGAGGACAGGCCAGTACCTAGACACAGAATGGACAGAGGATGAGTGTCTGTTGGTGGTGCCAAAGGTGGGGCTGGAGCCACTTGAGTTGGTAGAGTCTCTGTCTAGAGCATTCCTGCCCCTGGCCCTGGTGGGCGCATATTCCCAGAATCTCACAATGACTGGATCTCAGCAACTCAGAATGCCAAACTCTGTGCCTCATGTAATTTTGCATAGGTGCTCAGAACCTCAGCAATTGCAGAGCAAGGGTCTAGCGACCTCTGTGTTCCTCTACCTGAAGGCAACTGTTCATTGAACCTGGGAGGCAATACCCAAAGCAGCCACTAGAGGGCATATGAGAGACAGGTGCCTGTGAACTTTAGGCAGCTCCCACCCAGTTCGGTGCCTGGTGGGCTGGAGCTGGTGAGGGTGAGGAGGTACCACACAGGGATATGGTGGCTGAGGGGGAGAGTGGTACACAATCATGATAGTAATGAGTGATGCATATACCAATGGTACCAAGTGGGAGTGATTGGGTCACCTGGAGGGGCAAAAGCATATGTCAGGGGCTGTTTTAAGCCTTTTATCACCTTCACAGTCTTCTGAGGCAGTCCTTGTGACAGTCTCTGGTTTAGACATGAGGATATGGGAACACAGTTGCTGGAGTGAGGGCTGCATCAAGGTGGGCTTGGGGTGCCA